AACGTCGACCGTTGTTTGTTACTACAACGAATTCAAAACGATAAAAAATTGTTACGTCATAAATAATGGCGGCGGCGGTGGCGGTAATAATAATAATAATAACGACGCGGTACGTGACGATAAGGGAAAAACTGTAACGGAAAAGGAAAATGATAAAATGATATCAAACATCGATGGAAGGAACGATATATCGAAAAGTACGACGACGACGACGGTTAAACCTTTCGATAAATCGAAAAGGCCGAAAAATTGGCCGAATTTTATTTATCACAGAGTTTCGTCGGCTGATTTTTTCCACGATAATCATCGCACTAATAATAATAATAATAACAATAATAATAATCTTCCAAGTGCCTACGTAGCCATATCCGTTGTTGCCGGTTCTACAACTTCCGGTACGAAAATTTAAAAAAAATTTTTTTTGTGCTTTTGACTTTTTTGGGTTTTCTTTTTTCTTCGGGAAACTTTTTCTTCTTTACCTCCCCAAAAAAAAAAAAAATTATTAAAAAGAGAGAGAGAGTATGTGTGTGCAACTTTCTCTCTCTCTCTCTCTCTCTCTCTCATTATTTCGTAAATTCGAGTAGAGACTAGAGAGGGGGAGGAAAAAAAAAAAATTTAATGACGATGGTATCGGTTTGTAGTGTTTGTGGTGGTGGTAGTGGTGATTGTAACAAAGACACTGATAACAGTGATAACGATTATGATAAGTAATAATGATAATAATAATAATAATAATAATAATGATTGGGTCGATATTTTAAAAAAAAGAAATTTTTTTTCTCTACTTCTCCTACTTTTTCTTCTTCTATTTATTTCTCTGCTTTGTAAAAATTTGTTTTAACTCGTTTGCTGTTTGTTTGTTTGTTTAAGTTTTTCATTCTTGTAATTTATACTCTATTAATTTTCTCTAAAATTTAAAAGGGTAAAATTTTCTTTATTATTATTATTATTTACCTTTGAAAATATCCGGTTAAAATTTATTTTTATTACGATGTTTATTTATTTATTTATTTAAATAAGAAAAAATTATTTATTTATTTAATTAATTAATTAATTAATTACTCGGATATGCGTACTCTCGTTTAACAAAAAAAAAAAAAAAAGAGAATCGATAAATTGTAATTAAACCGGAAACGGAAATAATAATAATGATAATAATGGTGAGTTAAGGAAACGTTTTTCGTACGAGTTTTAACAATATCCTGACTCGCAAAATAATTTTTCTCTTTTTTTTTGTTTAAATTTTATGACGTTTTTTTTTTTAAAAACAAGTCAACAAACAAACAACAAACAACCCACATGATTTCTATTAATTTTTATTATTTTTTTATTTTACTCGAGAGAGAGAGAGAAAGAAAAAAAAAATTATTATTTGCGTTTTTTGTTTTTTTTCTTTCTCTCCCTCTCTCTCTCTCTCCCTCCCCCTTCCCCCCAGTTTGTTGTTTTCACACTCGGTTGTTGTTTTTGTTTTGTTTGTTTTTCCTCCTCCCGAAAATTATCCCTTGAATCCAGGAAAAAAAAAAAAGATTCCAGGGATGAATTCTTTTTATGAAAAAAAAAAAAAAAATTTATATCGTTTTAATAATCCAGGTAAGAATCCCCGAGAGAATCTTAGAATCTTTTGCAAGTAAGAAAAATCAAAGGAAATGAAAAAAAAGAAAAAAGGAAATGATAATGATTATGATGATAATAAAAGGAATGATGACGACGTCAAAGGAAGAAAAAAGCGTGTGTGTGTAAGGAAAAAAAGGTAAGTGTCTTATGTTTAAAATTTCTTCGCACTTGTTTTTATATTTAATTCGAATTGGAGAGAGAAAAAGAAAGAGAGAGAGAGAGAGAAGGAAAACGGGTTTTATTTATATAAAAAAAAAAAAATCTTTCCTTTGTAGAATTTGAAAAAAAAAAAAAGTTTAATTTAACACTTTCTTACTCTCTTTCTCTCTCTCTCTTTCTCTTTCTCTCTCTCTTTTTATTAACTTTAATATTAATAAATAACTAGGAAAACATTTTTAAATTTAAGAGTTTTTTCCTTTTTTTCCTTTGAAAAATTTCGCGTGATTTAACTTTGAAACAAAAAAAAATAAATAAATAAAGGAAAAAAGGAAAAAACGAAATCTTTATTCTTGACGTATTCTTGTAACGTTTTCTCACTTTTACTTTCTCTCTCTCTCTCTCTCTCTCTCTCTCTCTCTCTCTCTCTCTTTTTCTCGTTCTCTATCTCTATCTCTCTCTTTTAGTGTGCCGCTTTTTTTTTTTTTCTCTCATTCACTCCACAACTCACACTATTGACTCCCTGTTGGTTTCCCAGTGTGGTTGAGCATTATTTTAAAAAAGAGAGAGAAAGAAAGAGTGAGTGAGTGAGAGAGAGAGAGAGAGAAAAAGGTTTTTACGGTAACTTTCGACAGGTGAACTTTTTTTTTTTTTTTTTTATTTCTCTGACTTTTCTTTTTTCTTTTTTTTTCTATAAAAAAAGTCACAGAAAGAAAACGAAAAAACAGGTGAACCGTTTTAAATGATTCTTTTCTTTTCCTCCCGCCCCCAACGCCCCTCTCCCGCACATCGATTCACCCCTCCCCTTGTTTCACCTTCCCATTCCCTTCTTTCTCTCTCTCTCTCTCCCAAACTATTTTTTTTTATTAAAAAATGAACGGACTTTGTTTCGTTTTTTTTTTTTTTTTTCTACGAAGGAAAGGGGAGAGGGGAGGAGGAGGGAGGGGAAAAGGGATAATCTCAGTTTTTCAGCTTCTTAAATAATCTGAAGGGGGGATGGTTAAGATAAATAAATGAGAGAAAGTGAGAAGAAAAGTTCAAATTGAAAGTTGCGAAACTTGAAAAATATTAATAGTAGTGATAATAATAATAATGAATTTACATATTTTTTTACACTAAAATACTTTTAACTTTACCGCAAACGTATTGAAAAAAAAAACTTTTCTTTTAGTTAAAAACTATATGAGAGAAAGAGAGGGGGAGGGGGAAAATAAAAAAGAAAAAGGTACGAAGGAAAGGAAATTAAGAAAAACATAGAGAAAATTACAGTAAAAGAGAGAGAGAGAGAGAAAGAGACAGAAAGGAATGCAAGAGGAAGACGTACACACACAAAACACACAGGAAAAGAGAGAGAAAGACACGCACAAACACACACAGAGAAAGAGAGACAGAGACAGAGAAAGGCACGCAGAGAAAGAGAAAGAGAGGGGGCGGGAGTCAAAAGGAAAAAATTGGCAAAAAATTAAATTACGCATTTCCAAAATATGTGTCAAAGGTTCAGGTGGGAGGGGTGAGTGGGTGGGTGCGGGTATTGCTTTACTTTTTTTAATTGAATCTAATTCACGTTTGGAAAAATCCGTTTAGAAATAATTTTTTTAATTGGGTGGTGGGCCCTCCCCCTCCTCCCCTCCCCCCATTTCGCTCTTCCCGCCCCACTCCCCATTCCCAGCTTATCAATAATTTAAAGTTTTTTTTTTTTTTTTTTTCTCGATTTATATTATTATTATCATCATCATTAGTTATTATTTTCCCTTTCGTTCGTTTTTTTTTCCTTTCAAAAAAAAAATTAATTTTTAATTAACCAAAATTTTTTAATATCATTAATAATAATAATAATAATAATAATATTGATTAGTCGAACGGGATTGTGTGTCATCATTATCATCATCATTATTATTATTATTACCTCACCGTCGCGATGAAATTCATCGATTAACCATAATAAGATTTATGCTTCAATTAAAAAAAAAAAAAAACAAAATCAAGTCAAATAATGTAGTAGTAATAATAATAATAATAATAATAATAATAATAATAATAATAATAATAATAAACAATAACAATAATAATAATAACAACAACAACAACAAAAACAACAATGATAATAATAATAACAATAATTAATAGTATAATTTTTATATTGATGATATTTATCATTATTATTAATTTACTGTACAATCAAAATTTTTATTATTATTATTAAACGGCGATTATCTTATTTATAATTATGACGACGATAATGATGATTATTGATGCTCTCGTTGTTATTATTATTATTATTATTATTTTCATCATCATCATCATCATCATCATCATTTTTTTTACAATACGAAAAGACTATAAAACAGTAAAAGGAACAAGAGTGGGGGGGGGGAAAAATCGATTCTTTTTTTTTTTTTTTTCCCCCACACAATCGTGCATTTTATGTGCGTACGCATTCGTACGCACTCACGCACTCACACAATTTTGTGCGAAAGGAAACGATAGTAATAATAATAATAATAATAATAATAAACAATATTTATTATTTTTATTATTGTGATCACCAGAAAAAAAATTATCTATCGTTTTTTACCAATTATTATTTACAATCGTTCTTCTTCCATCATCATTAATTAACTGATTGATTTATTGATTGATTAATTTATTGATTAATTAATTAATTAATTTAATTATTTTCTTCTCATTTTCGTGACGTAACAAATCGAAAGTGATTAAAAGAAAACCGGAAATGAAGTTCGTTTCAAATTGATTTCCGCACAAATCAACGCGTACTCGCCGAATCGTCTTCGATATACGGTGAGTTTTCCTTCTCTCTCTCTCTCTCTCTCTTTAACAATCGCGATTTGTGTGTTTATTTCGAAACTTCCGGTTTCTTTTTCCCCCCTCCCCTCCCCCCACATCTCTTTTCGATGAGATTCTCCGAAAATAAGAAGAAAAATATATATATATATATATCGATTTCATTAAAATCTATGATGTTGTCGTCTTCGACAATGATTATTATTATTATTTTTTTTTTGTCAAAATAATTATTTAAATAACATTTAAAACATTTTCTCTCTCTCTCTCTCTCTCTGTCGCTCTCTCTCTCCTAACAATATTTGGTTTTATTTTTACGATTACGTCATCACCGCATTTTCGAAAAAAAAAAAAAAATTTTAAACAAACGTTGAAACACGATAATAATAATAATAATAATAACGTCAACGTTTGATTTCGATTTAAGGTTAGGAACAATTTTTTCGTTGTTGTAATTGTGGTTGATTCGAGTGATGATGATGATGGGGGTGGTGGTGGTTGGGGGGCTGGTGGTGTTGGTGATGAGGATGATGATGATGATGATGAGATTGAGGATGATACTGGGATTGTTGATTAAGATGATATTGTTGCTGTTGCTGGTGCTGCTGTTGCAGTTGCTGTAATTGTTGTTGATTCTGTAGAATTTGCTGCTGTTGTTGTTGTTGTTGTTGCTGCTGCTGTTGCTGTTGTTGATGTTTACGAGTGGCTTCTTCTCTTTCGTTGGCGTCGAAATACCATAACGTAATTGCATATCTAGTCCTGTATGACGGATGAACTTCGTGTGGATTTCTCCTATCCGACCAAAAGAATAATATTCGATCGAATAAAGGTTCTATATTAGCTACTTGATCTTGCCAACCTTCTGGAAATATTCTCAATAATCCACCGTCTCTCTGTAATTAATTACGTCATTTCCAATTAATTATAATAATAATAATAATAATAATAATAATAATAATGATATATTTGAATTATTCTTATCATTTTCATTATTATTATTGATAATATAAAATTTTTTTTTTTTTTCATCGAGATTAGATAAATTTAAACAAAACAATATAATTAATTATTATTATTATTATTACAATTGGAATCATTATTGTTTTGCCATAACTTTAATTGGACTGATATCGATTAATAACTTACTTTTACATCCCAGTCTGTGTTTAAATAATAAATTGCAGTTATACATCTACCATCATGATTTGGATTATCGACATGTTTAACATAATGACTTCCTTGAGCTGGATAGCAAGCGACCATGGCTTTTGTTCTACCATTTATTATGTAGTCTCCCATTTTACCATTATTCGACATCTAAATAGTATATCAATAATTAACATAAAAAATGATAAGCGATTGGTATTATGTATTAGTTTAATTATAATAGAAATTGCAAATTGAGCGAGTTGAATGGATGATGAAAATCGATTTACCTTGTTTGCCTGTTTCACAACGGTGTCAACTTTACTAATTAAACATCCGATACTTTTACAGTGAGATTCTGTACCATCCAACCACGTGATCTGATCTCCTCTAATTGTTTTCAAATCACTTTTAGCTCTAGCACTTACAGTCTGTCCATCTTTGAATACACCTCTACTGTACATATTAATAACTTCGTCTAAGACTTTTTTACCCAATTCGGGACCTAAAAAGTGATCCACGACACAGACACCGTAGGCATCCATGTCACGGATCACGTTAATGCTAACCTCCTCCAAAATGCTTGCCTTTTCGTCGCAATGCAAAAATGGAGGTCCATTCAAACTAATATTAGCAAACCTATTTAATTCTTTTTCTTCTTTGACTTTTTCGCATGGATCTAATAAATTGTTTTTACTATGTGTGCTTATCAATTCGAATTCAGGCCTTAAAATTTCCGTTCTTGCATTTAATATTTCACTCTCCGAACTCCCCTCGGTGACAGCGCCGTACGCGAACATTCCTTATTATTATTATTATTATTATTATTATTATTTATAATATTATTAAATAATTTTTTTGTTATCTTTTTACGATTTATTTTTATTTTTTTATTTTTTAAATCTTCTAAATTACGTCTCCTGCGAATTTAAAAAAAAAAAAAAAAAAAATTTATTTATATACATGTAAAAATAATAATAATAATAATAAATAAAAACACAAAAATACACGAGTGTGAAACGTTAATCCGATTGTTTCGTTGACGAATAATTAAACAAAATCAATCAACAGTTAATATTACCTCGATTTATTTTATTTTCAATGGGTTTTAATGTTAATAACAAAAAAATAACAAAAATATGTCGGATTACATTTCCTTCCGCGACTGTTCGCCGCCATTCTTCTACCTTCGAGATTCTCGTAATATCATTTAAAGCCCCCGCGATTTTTTATTTTCGTTTCGAAATATCTCGACGAACCCGTCTGGATAATATCTCACCTCTTTTTTTTTTTGTACTTAACTATTATTATTATCAATTAATATACAATTACATTATTTATTTCATTATTATTATTATGCATTTGTATAACTTTATAAATTTCTATTGACTGTATATTATACTACGTCAATATTTTTCGTTGACGTCATCGCTAATGCTGAAAACGACGACGATGACGTCACACAATTCAAGGGAAGACATAATAATCGAATTTAAAGAAAAATCAAAACAAACGATTTGTAAAACCCATTCATTATAATTACAACGATTTATCTCTTTTCATATATAAATATTTAAATTTACCATAATTAAATTCATTTGTATATAATAAAACATTGATTTTAACTTATGAGGATGCGAGGAGAAATGTAAAAAAATAAATAAATAATTGATTAGAGAAAGAGGGTATGAAGAAAAAAGGTAGGAGGGGGCGGGAAAAGAAAGTGAAAATTTATGATTTAAATTATTATTCAGGTTCGTAATACGATAGCCTTGGCATTCGTTTTAAACGCGAACTTTTTTTTGTATTTACGTTTCCAAATTGTATAACGTTAGGTTTTATGATTTTCCTTTTACTGTTTCTCACGCTTGACGGTGGCTTGTCCTAAAAGAAAAGAAAAAAAAAAAATGAGTTTGTTTAATTTTTGGCGGGAAAACAAAAAAGGGGGAGAGAGTAGGGCAGCAAACCTTTTTATCCAATTTTTTTAAAAATGCATTTATCAATTCTTTACAATTTAAATGTTTTTCAGGTTCCCATGTATCATGTTTCGATGAATAACCTTTCCACCTCACTAAAAATTTTCTTTCATTATTTTTTTTCATATATATATCTATTAATTTTTCAACTTCATATTCTTTCAAATTTGATTCATCTTCCTCCTCCTCCTCCTCTGATGATGATGGGGATGCTGGCAAAGAAGATTCTTTTTCCACATTTTCACTCGTATCTTTTTTCTCTTCTTCCATTTTACCTTTTCCTATTTTTTTATTTTTCACATTTCTCACTCGAATGTTTTTCTCATTTTTTAATTTTTTAGACTTTTTCACATTTGTTAATTTGTCCACTGATTTTTTTTCCAATAATATTTTCATTTCTTTTTTATTTTTTATAACTTTATCATTATCACTATTATTACCACTGGTATCATTTACATTGTTATTATTATTACTCGAATTGTTTTTTTTCGTATCTTTTGTATTTTTAACATCAACATTGACATTTTTCTCATCTTTATCTGTTTCATTTTCATTTGTTTCATTTACATCTAGTTTATTATTGGCAACTCTCATTGATTTCCTTCGATTTGTTGTACTTTCAGGTGGCATTTTGCTTATTCTTTTTCTCAATTCTCTTCGATTTGTATTTTTCGTTTTTTCTTCTCGAGTAGTCAATTTGGATTCAATTACATTCTTCCCCATTGAATCTTCCTTATTTTCATCAGGTTTTATATCCTGTAGGAAGAAAAAGAAGATTAATAATGGAAAAAATTCAAAATGATGTTTTATGGAGTGTTTCGAGTCATTTCGATAATTTAAAAAATGGTGTGTTAAGTTGTGATCATCATCATCATGAGTTTGATTGTTTACATGCATACTGATAACGATTATCGAGGTCATGTTTCATTTTTATGTAGGTCACGAAATAAAATAACGATTATAATTAATGTCGAAAACTTAATCAACCAATACAGAGAGAGAGAGAGTGAAAGACTAACCTCAGAGATTTTAATTTTATCATTATCATCATCATTATCATCATCGTAATCAAATTTATTATTTTTTTTTTGTTTTGTTTTTTCTTTTGACGTTTCCCTTTTTTTACATTTCGTCTCTTTCATAATGTTTCTTATTTTTTTCTTGTTTTTTTTTGTGATTTACGATCGTATTAAATGAATTTAAATTTTAATATTCGATAATTGTAAACACGGATGTGATTTCTATATAAAGAAATATGTTATAATTAATAAATAATCGATTATCGAAATCGATGATAATCAATCGATATCGATTAAAATTATAAATTTAAGAAAAAAAAAAAAAAACAAAAAAAAACGATTAATTTTATATTTACTAATTAATAATATTAAGTAAACAACACACAAACGACTGAACCAACGCGTAACGGGATTTTTTTTTGCCTCTTAATCTATTATTATGTTTAACTTATGTAACGTATTAAAATTATTTGGCTTTCGAACGACAACAACAAACAACAACAACAAACATTTAATACGATCATAAATTATTATTATTATTATTTTTCATATTAAAAAAAAAACATTTTTAAAAACTTTTTTTTTTTATTAAAGAATGGATTTTTAACTTTTCCATTTAATAAATAATTTCGAATTAATTAAATATTATATAAATTAAATATTTTATTAATTAATAGTTTTAAATTTAATCGGAAGATGTCGCTAGGTAGAAAAAAGGAAGAGATTTATCAAAATGGCGCCTTTAGTTTCTTAATTTTTGGTGGAGTAAAAAGAAAATGTCGCGATTGTTGTTTTTCCTAAATCAGTGAGAGTAAGTTTTCGTTAAAAAAGAAAATAAAAAAGTGATTTTGGATTTTTCCATTTAGTAAGAAATTTGACGTCGTGAATTTTTCCGTTAAAAATTTCGTTAAACTTTTTTTTTTTTTAATTTTACGTGAATTTTTTGTTCGTTATGATTTCGTTAAATTTATTCGATCGTTCGAAAAAAATTCAAAACGTTTTATAATTCGATTTAAATTCTTTTTAAAAAATCGATTCAGTTTAAAAAATTAGGAAGAATAAATCAAAGTTTTTTTTATATATATAAATTTCTTAAACGTAAAGTTAAACTTTTCAAAATTTTAAAAAAACTAAAACAAAAAAAAAAAAAAAACTTTTAATTGTTAGTTTTTTATATTATTGTTTTGTAATTATTTGATTCTTTAATGATAAAATCAAAACGTTATTTAAAAAATTTGAATCGAATCTTACATATAATTCGTATTAATTTTTCGATACAAATAATAATGATACCTTTGGACGTAAGAACTCACATAAAAGTTTTTACTTTTTATTCTTAAATTTTTGGTACGTAAATCACAAAAAACAATTTAAAACGTTAATTATTTGATTATTTATTAATTTTTTTTTAAACGTTCAAAAATTGAGTAAAATACATTTAGAAAAAGTTTTAAATTAGTACGACAAATTTTCCTGCCTCATTTTTTTTTTTTTTTGGTAAAATGGCGTCAAAATACAAAATTACGTCATAGTTGTAACTAACCAAGTAGTTCTCGTACTCGTTCCCATAAAGAGAAGAAAAAAAAGGAAAAAGAAAAGATTTATTATATATATATTAATTTATTAATAAAAAAATATTATTAATTATTTAAAATGGAACCTTACGATGTTATCGTTAATCAACCGGTAGTAATTGATAATGTAAGTTTATTATAACTGTGAATATATTTAATTAATTATTTTATATTAACTGTCAACTTGCACATATTCAGACACACCTTGCATTACCTATTAAAATTTTATTAATTTAACGCCTTAATTTGTTTTTAACGTTTTAAATACTACAATACTAAACATGATGAATATGCTAGTGGAAATAGTTTTGAAGGAATCATAAAATTTTTACTTAAAATAATTATTTAATAGAGTAGTCATACGTGGAACCTTAAAATTAAAATTTTCAGGTTATATTTATTAGTTAATTAAAATTCTAAACGATACTATTAGTTTTAACGCATTTATCATAGGAGAGTAATAAATATACAATTTATTGTAATATTAAATTAATTTTATTTATTTATTGTAGGGTTCTGGAGTAATAAAAGCAGGTTTTGCTGGAGATCAAACTCCCAAATGTCATTTTCCAAATTAGTAAGTTTTTTGTTTTTTGTAAATTTATAATTAAAAAGTAATTGAAAACGATTGAAAACAAATGAAAAAATTATGTTTCAGTATTGGAATACCTAAACATGTTAGGGTTATGGCTGGTGCCTTAGAAGGTGACATATTTGTCGGTCCCAAAGCTGAAGAATACAGAGGATTATTAAGTATTAGGTATCCGATGGAACAGGGAATAGTAACAGATTGGAATGACATGGAAAGAATTTGGCAATATATTTACAGTAAAGATCAATTACAAACATTTGCCGAAGAACATCCTGTTTTATTAACAGAAGCACCATTAAATCCTAGAAAGAATAGAGAAAGAGCAGCTGAAATTTTTTTCGAAACATTTAATGTTCCAGCATTGTTTGTTTCAATGCAGGCAGTTTTGAGTTTGTAAGTAATTATAATAATAATAATGATATCGATTGGATATTAATCAATGGAAAAAACCGAATAAATGTGTGAAAATTTTTTTGTCAGGTATGCGACAGGTAGAACGACAGGAGTTGTTTTAGATTCTGGCGATGGTGTAACTCATGCAGTACCAATTTACGAAGGTTTCGCATTGCCCCATAGCATAATGAGAATAGATTTAGCGGGTCGTGACGTCACAAAATACCTTCATTTATTATTGAAAAGAGAGGGTATTAATTTTCACACGACTGCAGAATTTGAAATTGTTAAAACGATTAAAGAAAAAGCGTGTTACTTAGCGAGTAATCCGGTGAAAGAAGAATCTGTAGAATTAGAAAGATCACAATATGTATTACCAGATGGTAGCACAATCGAAATAGGTCCTGCAAAATTTAGAGCACCTGAAGTTTTATTTAGACCTGATTTAATAGGTGACGAATGTCCAGGATTGCACGAAGTATTATTGGATTCAATATTGAAATCGGATTTAGATTTAAGAAAAGTTTTATATCAAAACATTGTTTTGTCCGGCGGTTCGACTCTCTTCAAGGGTTTCGGCGATAAATTGTTGGGAGAAATAAAGAAAAACGCACCTAAAGACGTCAAATTAAGAGTAAGTTTTTTTTTTTTACTTATTTATTACTTTTTTCTATTGTTGTTAATTTTTTACTTGCGACGTGTCATATAAATACTCAGTCGTGCGAATAGAAAGATTTAAAGGAAAAAGGAAAAAAAAAAAAAAAAAAAAAATTCACGTTGATGTTATTATAGATCTCCGCGCCTCAGGAAAGGCTTTATTCAACGTGGATAGGGGGTTCTATATTAGCATCATTAGATACTTTCAAAAAAATGTGGGTATCAAAAAGAGAATATGATGAAGAAGGGCACAGGGCCGTACACAGGAAAACGTTTTAACGTGGCTTTTTCTTTTCTTTTTTTTTTTTTTTTTATAAAAATTGTTTTTCATTATCATTGATTTCTTTTACATGCCTTATTATTATTATTATTATTATTATTATTAATAACATTCGAGAGAGTAACGATTAGTACTTATTTATTTATTTATTGATCGATTTGAAAAGAAGAAAAACAAAAGAAAACAAAAATGGCGGATAGAAACGTTTTGCCTACCCCCTATTTCTCCTCTTCTCCCCTCCCCCAGCCTCTATACAACCGTCGTTTTTCACTCTCTTTCTCACAAATAATTTAACGATAAAAAAAATGTGCTTTAAAAAAAAAGTAATAATAATAATAATAATAAATTAATATAAAAGTTATGATAGGGGTTATCACGATGATGATGATGATGATAATTTTCTATATTGTGGTGTATCATTATTATTGAAGCGGTAGATTGTTGTTTTGTAATTCGGTGCTTTAAGCTTTTTTTTATTAATAATAATAATAATAATAATAATAATAATAATAATAACGATAATATTACGATTGTAAATTTAACGCGGAACGGAAGCGGCGTTAATTGATATTAAATAAGAGGAAAAAAAACAAAAAAAATTTTTTGTAATTTAAGATTCCCCCACCCACACCCCCCCATTTAAAAAATTAATAATGATAATGATAATGAAATGACGGAATCAAATTAATCGTTGTTTTCGCCGTGGAAAAAAAAATTTTTTTTTTCTTTTTTTTTTTGTTAAATTCGAACAATTAATTTTATATATTTTGTATTAAAAAAATAAATAAATAAATTGATTAGCTTTAATAATAAATTTACAATTTAAATGAAAAAGGAAATTGTAATTATTATTATTATTTTTTTTTTTTTTTTATTATATGAAATAATGGTGCTAACGTTATTTATTTATTTATTTATAAAAATAAATAATTTTAAATTATTTTTTGATTGTTTTTTGGGTGTCGTACAAAAAATCGTTTCGATTTTCGAGAAGTATCGAACAAAAATAAAAAACGAGATCGATTTATCGTAATATTAACCTTTCGCGACTTTTGTGCAACAACAAAAAAACAAAAATGGCGGAAAAGGTTTTTTTTCTGTTGTAACAACGTTCCTAAATAATCCGGCAGGAGCGCTGTTTTCAAACGGGGGGGAGGGTGGAATTTTCAATTGTGATTTTAATTATTATTTATTTATTGAAATAATTTTTTTTTTTTTTTATTTTCGTATAATTTATCAATAGAAAAAAAAATAAAAACAAATAATAATAATAATAAAAAATAATAACAATAATAATAATAATAATAATAATAATTAAAACGTTAAAAAATTTTTTTTTCATTTTACGAACGAAGAAATTAGAAACGAATCGAAATCGTGTCGCGCATTCGATTTTTTTTTTTTTAATTTTAAATTTAAATTTAAATTTCATTCGCGAATTAGAATAATGATGACGTCACGTAGAAAACCGTTAAATAATCGAATCGAACCGTTCGGAATGCGTTTGGAGTCGCGGAGAGCAATTCGAAGAACAGTAGCTTCCTCTTTGTTTTTCTTTCGCTCGCGTGTTTTTCTTTTTCGTTTTTTTTTCTCTCTTCTCCCCATCCTTCCTTTCCTTTGATTTCCTCCTTTGATTTCAATAAATTTCGGCCATGAGCAATACGACCAAAGACGACCATCCGGTGAATGGTCTCGATCCCTGTCCCTCTCCCGTCACGTCGTTATACTGTTCCCAAATGTAACCCGTTCTCTTGTATTCTTTGAATATGTTATTTATTAAATTTTCCCTTAGCCTCTCGTACAATTCCTTGGCCGTTTCCCTGTAGGGTCCTTCCATTTTCGAATAGTTATACAACGCTTTCGCGACCAAATAATTAATGTTGATCCATATGGGTCCTCTCCAATATGGCGGATCGTGTTCCGTGTTGTATTTCATGTACATGGGTGACGTAGTCGAAAGAGATCTCAAACCGTAGTCGGTCCATAAATACTCTGGATTTTTTAGATCCAGCAATACTTGTCCGAGTTCGGAGGATTCGCTGTCGAGGATTTCGGTCATGAGGGGAAATAAATTTATGTAACCGAAAGAGGAATCCACGTAATCGTAGACGGGACTTTTTAAAACGACTCGAACCTTTTCCTGATTCGTGACGGGAGTGCCCGGTTGTCGTTGAATCGTCGGTGGTTTTTTCAATACGACCGAATCCGTGTGAAGACCGTAATCGGCATACCTCGAAGACCTGTAACTCCAGTGCAAATGATTTAAAAACCTCGGATCCGTGAGGTAGTAAAAAGTATTCTCGTACTTTTTCCCATTTCTTCCCAAAGTGTGAGACAATTCGGCGAGGGTGGATGCCGACAAAGCGATCCAACACCGAAGATCCACGTGTCTTTCTTCCGAAGTCGGATGCGACGCTCTCGGATAATCGTCCAAACCGGACGTTAATGTTTTAGGATTGAGTTCTCTCACCGCATCCGGATCTCTACCCTTCCACCTGTAGGATCCTGGAACGTCGCCGAGTTGCGTGTAATTAAACCAATCGAACCAAGCCTGGAGCCTCGGATACAATCTGTAAAGGGTGTGCAATTTCCCTTCGCTTTTAAGCTTTTTCCGATAGTTTCGATTAATGAATTTCAAAGTGAGGAAAAACGTCGGCGGATTCGCGTTCGTGTTGTGCTGCGTGACGAATTCTTCCGGTACTTTGCTCAAAGCTTCCTGTCCGAGTATTTGCTCTCGCGGAATCCAACCCTCTATGTTCATGAGATCGAACCAATGATTTATTATGTCCAATTCAATATCCAAATCCCACGTCGATATGAGGAGACCGTGAAAACCTTCGTCCCAAAGGAATCCCCGAGGGAAAAAACTCCTAGATGGTACGGCCGTGTAAAGCGGAGCTTTCCAGTACGGCACCGTGTTCTTCGTGTGAGATGATTGTACTCTGGAGGAACCGTAAAAGTACCCGATACCCCCGATCAAATTACTCAGTGCCGCTTTTGCAAATTCAATCTTTTGCGGACTGAAATTTTTCCTACCCAATTCGTACGTCCTTTCGAATTTTTCCCGGAAATTTTTCCTATGCTTTTCCAATTCTTCTTGATAGACTTTTCCGTGGAGAGTGTTTGAACGATTGTGAAAGCTTTCGGATTCGAATATGAAATACGTTTCCATGGGTAATTGACCCGTGACTTGCAACGCGACGAAATTATGCGGGGGTCCGCTCACGGGATCCCGAAAACTTTCTCCGGGTAACGTGAATTTTATTTTATTCGTTTTTTTATTTCTAATCGTTCTCAATGAATCTAAAACGGTTTCTTTCAACAGGTGTATGCCGGGGCTCACGGTGCTGAGAAAGGAATCGCTCACTTCTTTTCTATTTTGATCGTAGAGAGTAAATGTAAAATCCCCGAGTTCCGGAGTGTTTCCTTTTATTTTCGATATAAGATTTCCGTAATAAGGACCCGAGGATAGCCAACCGTTACCCTTGTCTTCTAGTGCGGCGTAAAATAAAATTGATATTTCCTCCGTGGTGTTGTATTTCGGTTCGACCTTGACGTGTGCCGTCCAATCACCACCGTGATTACCTCCCGGCCTTTTAACGAAGGATACGGTCATGCGATAAGGACCGTCGTGTATTTCCTGCACGCCAAAATTCCTACCGTCGTGTTCTTTCCACGTGTATTTGTTTAAATTGTCACCTTGTTCGCACCAGTGCCTTATGTCGATGTTACCGTGTGCTAATTTCTTCGGGGAATACCACATGATTCCGCTGAGGAGGGGATTCGAATCCCGAGTTTTCATTCCAAAATATAAACCCGGCCTGTAACTTCCCCAATACATATGTGGTACGTCCAAACCTGATTTTTCCACCATTTTATCATTGTCGAATTTAGTGTTGACGCGAGTTTCCAAATATCCTTTGAATCCTATAACGGCAGCTATTATTAAACAGGTGAGTGTTATTCCGGTTCTTATGGGTGACAACTCATCATTGGGTTTGTTTTTATTATGACTTGAATTTTTATTATGATCTCCGCTCGCTTTTTCATGCGTGCCAGAATTTTTCGTTCTAGGCATCGTCTAAAAAATAACAAAAAATAATCAATAAGAGAAAACGTCATGTTTTATTTCATAAAAAAAAAAAAAAAAAACATTTGAATTTTCGATATTGTAATGATGGACCACAAAAATAACCTCACCTGGTTAGAAATTTTAATTTACTCGTTATTAATTACGAGACGTGATTACAAAAAAAAAGAAAACAACTTACCGAGTTTAAAAAAAAAGTAAAATATTTATAAAAATATATTTACACGTGTAATTACATTGGAAAATTCAAAAAAAATTTTATTATGTGCTATCGGTCTACGAAAAAGCTCATTTTTACTATTTGATCTTCCATATCAAAATTATTATTTGATCGGTAAACGTAATCCGGAATCGACAACTTTTGAAAAAACAAAAAGGTAAAAATATTAAATTTCGAATCCGCTTTTTCAAAATTGATTTTGACATTTTTTCGATTTATCGATATTTATAATTTCGATATAAAAATAATCGATTTTTTTTTGTTATATTTCAAATCGAATCGTAAAACAAAAAAAATGAAAAAAAAAATTCTCGTAATTTCTCGAAGTCGATAGAAAAAATTTCGCTTTCAAAAGTTGGCAACATTAACTTATATCAAAAAATAATTATGTCGGTTATTTATTTCTATTATACGAAATCGAAAAAAAAAGTTTATTAGAAAATGAAAAAGAATTAACGAAACCGATAACTATTTAATGGATGAAAATAATTGAAAAAATATTAACGGAACGAAATGTGGAATTGTTAAAGTAACGAATAATTATCATGGGACAGATAAACACAAATTTAGGATTCGGTATGTGGCAATCATGATAATTTTGATTTTGAAAAAAAAAAAAAAAGATATATATATATATTTTTTCACAATGTCGAAATCGAATATTTAACTTTTATAAAAATAATTTGTTTGCATTCCACTCGTGCCGCCCGCCCCCCCTCTCCCACAATATTTCAAAATGCAAAACATAATAATGATAATATAACAATCATAAAATTTTTAACCTTATTTGTATATCCAAAGGTTAGTTCTTATGTGATTGTTTCTTTTTAATTTTTCTCTATGATTAACCAATCAATACCTTGTGATCATTCAGGTATTTTCATAATACAACCATATAATAAACATAAAATCGAGTAAATTTTTATAAAATGTCAATTCGAAAACAAAAGTAGGAAAACCAAATCGGTTTGTTTTTAATCGATTTCCTTAAATTAGAATTATTTAAACATGATATAAATTTTAAAACAAAGAAATGAAATAAATCATTTTGATTTTCAATTGATAATGCTATAAGAATATCAATAATAAATTTGATATCATTTATTTATTTTTTTTTTGAAATCGATGAAAAACAAACATGGAGTTTTTTCATTTAGTTATTTTCTTAATTGTTTTCCTAGTTAATGAGTTCTTTTTTTTTTGAAAATGTTGGGAAAGAAAGAAAAAGAAGGAATTAAGGCTTATGATAATTACTTTGAGTCATTATGGTAATGACAAATAAATGAATAAGAGTAATCAGTGGGAGGGATAAAGGGAAAAGGGAAGGGGAAACTCGACTTTGTTAATAACTCGAATAGAAAATATAATTTTGGTATTTCTATATATTTTGAGCGAATAAGTGTGTGAATCATTTCAAATGAAAATAATAATAATAATAATTGAAATTGCATGGATTTTAAAATTGTTTTTTTTTTTTTCTAATAATAAAACAATGTAATTGAAACTTTAATAAATGTGAATTTAAAAATATATATATATATGACATGATATCGAACAACAACAACAACAAAAATTACATAATATCAATAGTTTTTTTTTTTTTTTCTGTTAATATTTGCATACGTCATCTTATTGTTTAATAACGTTTCATTTATTTATATATAAGTAAAGTTTTTGCCTAATTTGGGGGGGGGAGGAGGTGTAACTTGGGTGGGAGAGGGAACCCACAGGAAATGAAAAAGGGATAAGGTGATGAACGTATTGAAACTTATTAGTTTTTCTTTTTAAAAAAACTTTAAAAAAAAAAAAAATTAATTTCAATTAATTTCTTCGTTTAAATTCCAGCAAAATGAAAAATTATCATCATTATCATCATCATTATCACCGTGTATGATAATAATAATAATAATCAATCATTATTATTAATATGTATCTTTTTTTTTTATTTTTATTTTTTTATTGTCTTGCTCTTTGTGGCGTTTGTGTTTTAATGGGAAAAAATAAATTTTATATTTATTATTATATTTATTATTATTATTATTATTATATAGGCGATGATCCCTTGGCCTCTTTGTTGTTGTTGTTGTTGTTGATTTTTTTTTTTTTTATTTTTGGATGTGACATCAAATGAAAAATAATTTTTTATTTTATTTTATTTTTGAACTTTTCATTTTTTTTTTTTTTTTTTTTTTTTGTCTTTAACTTTTCGTTCGAGTTTTTATTTCGGGGGAGGGGGGGGATCGGGGAGGGTGGTGGTGGTTCCCAAATAAATTTCATAAATAAAAACCGCGTAATTAAAAACACGTTTATTATTTTTTGTTTTTGGATTGGTTCCACGACGAAAATTTTACGCGCCATTTTCTCTTTCTCCTGTCTTGTCATTTCGATAATAACGACGTTTAAGGTTCGCAGTTATTATAATAAAAATTAATTCGATAAATTGTCGTCTGTTTGTTTGTTTGTTTGTTGTTTTTCCCCATCGATAATAAAATAATAATGAAATAGAGTGAAAAAAAAAAAAAAAAACAAACGGGTTGTAAATCAAATGGTATTAATAAATATGGCGAACGTATTGAAAACATTAGATTTTATGGTTCGGAAAAAGAAATACGTATATATAAATAATAACCGTCGTTTTATTTTTATTATTTTTTATAACCGTTATTTATACTTTATAGTGTTTAAAAAGATTTAATATTATTATTATTATTATTATTACTATTATTATTATTATTTTAAATTCGAAAGGCTTTCACCGAAAAAGAAAAAAAAAAAAATTGCGGGACCGTAGGAATTTTGCCAAATAAATAAATAATAAGCAATGAATTTATTCGAAGGCCGCCATTTTTTTTTTTTTTTTTGGTTTTTAGATTTTCACCTTTGACCTAAGCGATTATTACGTATTTAACTTTTATTTTGATTATTATTATTATTATTATTATTATTATTATTATTATTATTATTATTATTTATTTCCGGTATATCGGCGATCGTGGTCTTAAAAAAGTTAAAATTCAAATCCAGTCGTAAATTGATAGACGTATGAACAGGTGAAAAATTATTATTATTACTGTTTTTTTTTTGTCTTAAACAAAATGGCGGACGCCGTGGCACGAATGAAAGTCACGAATGATTAACAAAAAAAAAATTAAAACGTTTCTTTGTTTTTTTCACTCTTTAAATACGATCCCGTTTAATTTCATATATCGTTGAGGTATTTTTTACAATTTTCTAGTTACGCTACTGAAAAGCAACAGGGTGACAGGAAACGAGTAAAAAAAAAAAAAAAAATTAGGGGTGATTTTATTATTATCATTATTATATAATTTTTACCAAACTAGATTTATTAGCATAAAATAAATTATTATTAAGGGGAAGCGACGAACTGGTTTTGGGGTTGGACGCCATGTTTTTTTTTTTTTTTGTTTTCGTTCGCGCACTTTTTTGAATTCTATTCCTCGCCCCCCCCCCCCCCGCGGTGAACGTTCATTGACGAAAACGTGCATTTTCCGCGATTAAAAAAAAAAAAAAAAAAAAGGAAAGAAACAATTAAACGCCATCATCATCATCATCATCATTTCGAGACGCTGATTATGCATCATCGTCGTCTGTCTGAATTTCCGGTGTCGTTTGGCGAACCGGAAACGCGACCGCGAATTACCATTTTATTTTGCAAATCGTACGATAATCGTCGTTTTTTCAAAATCGAGCGAGGTTGATCAAGGTTGGGGAAGGGGGTAGGGGGGTAGGGGGTGGGATGGACAGGAAACGAAAAAAAAAACGTTCAGACATTTTTTTTTTTTTTTTTGAATTTATTTGCGAGAAACGATACGAGGAGATAAATTCGATTCAGCATCCCGGAAATCAATTTAAAAATTATTTTATTCGATTTTATATGTGCTTAGGTCGTCGTTATTATTATTATTATTATTATTATTATTATTATTATTATTATTGTTATTATTATTATTATTTTTGGAAAAAAAAAAAACGTAATGAACGTCGGGAAGCGTCTGGAATATTTAATTACGATTTACTCGATTCGTTTCTTTTTTTTACTCTATGACGTATTAAATCCAACGATTTTCTTATTGATTGATTAAATTTGTTTTTTTCTGATCGAGGTTGTTGCCTTTTATTATTATCATTATCATCATCGTTGTTGTTGTTGTTTTTCTTGCTCCGTCATCGACGGTTCTCATTTGACAGGTTGACAAACATCAACATCATAAACATCCCGATCATGGGAATATACGATTCGGTGTTTTTTTCTTTCCTTCCACGTTTTCAGGTGTGTCAGAAGGTGAGGGGAGGGGGGAGGGAAAAAAAGATTTTTTTCTTACGTCTTAAAAAATTTTTCTTTTCATCCCTCATCAGGTGATTTCATTGAAGCCACCTCGTATTACGTTCACAAAAGATTTTCGAGTGGGTACTATTATTCGAAGTCACCGCACGAAAATAATTTTTTCTTCTTTTTTTTCTTTTTGTATTGTTGGCACCATTGTGTTATGCAATCGCATTGTGTGTCCATTGAATTTCATTCGACGTGACTTTTACGTCGTCGTGGGGGGGAGGGAGGTAGGTCAACGTCGACCTGCGAATTTTGTGTTTGTTTTTTTCTGGTCGGCATCGATTCGTTGTAATTAACGTTATCGAAATTCGATTTTGAAATTATTATTATTATTATTATTATTTAGAGAATACATTCCGGTGGAATTTAATAATCGCGGTTTCGATTTTCGATTAATCGTAATCGACGTAATAACGAAATGCATTTTTTCTCTTTTATTTATTGCAAAATTTTTTCATTTCCTTTTTGCTCCCTTAAAAAAAATTTATTAATTTCGATAGATCGATCGATCTATCGATCGACTTTTTGTTTTTGTTTTTATCAGATGAAAAGAAGAAGTTAACGAACGAAACAGCTGTTTGTTAAGAGACAGAAAGAGAGAAAAATTACCCAACAACCTTTTTTTTTTTTTTTGCAGTAGACGTTTTTTGTATTAAAAAAAAAAAACCTTAAATTTCAGGTATTAAAAAAAAAAATTATAGGTATTGTTAGAAACAGCTGTTTTATTATTTCATGTTTTTTT